TAGTGCAGTTCCCAAAGTTTGGTCCTCTAAGTGTTTTGAACTTCAACTCCCAGAAGCCTTAGACAGCCTGAACAACAGTCAAGAATTCTGGGAGCTGGAGTCCAAAACATCTGGAAGACCAAAGTAGAGGAAGCACAGCCCTTGATCTCCCTCCAGATGAATCTAGTAGATCTGGGGAGAAGGACTTTTCAGTGGCAGCCTCCAGACTCTGGAAACCCCTTCTCAGAGAATTCAGACATGCACTCTCCCTACTTTCTTTACGTGCAGACAAGTTACGATTTTTCTGTTTTGACATGTATTTAATGATCGATTGTATAAGGCCTGTCTCTCCTAAACAATGTGCTAGATCTTGCTTGTGTGTGTGTGTGTGTGTGTGTGTGTTTTATGGTGTGTCTTTGGTTTTAATTTTTTATTGTTTAATATCTTTTTAACTTTTGTATTTTGTGAATTTTAATTGTCTTTTTAAAATTTATTTTAAGCCATTTTGAATCCCAAACTAGAGGGGGGAAGGTGGGAGAGAAATAAATAAACAACAGACTAACACAGCTAACTCCGAAAAGCATTGAAACTGGGCAAGCTCATAGGGGGAGATGTATCTACACTGTGTATCTACACGGCAAAATTAAAGTGGTTTGGCACCCCTTTAACTGCCATGGCATACTGCTATGGCATTTGGGGATTTGTAGTTTTGTGAGATACACTATCAATGCTCTGGTGCAACAACAAGTTATAGATCCCAGGATTCCATAGGCTGGCACCATTATAGTTAAAGCAACGTCAAACTGCATTAATTCTTCAGTGTTGCAGTAGCAAATGTATGTCAGAATAAGGGAAAAAAGAAGAGATGGCACTAATGGGGAACAGAAGGCCTTAAGGACATAAGCCCCAGAGGAATGAATGGAATCATAGGCAGTATAAAATTGCCAAGAAAGGACAGCGAAGCTGCTAGAGAGTGCCATCCGTTCAAACAAACATATGCATGTTTAGTCTATCTACTGATGGCTGTACACTTGGGTACATAATATAAGTATGTTGTATCTTCATCTGTTTCTGTCACTCTGCCCATGTGCAGAGTAAAGCATCTGAATAAAAGAGCTCCCCCTATGCACAACATTCTCCAAGAACTGGGAACAATATCTAAAACAAAAACAAAACAAAAAAAACTCCCTCAGGATCCCAAACTGTGTGGAAAGCCTCCATGTGAAAGGGAAACTGGCCTGATCTGATCAGAGGATGACCAAGCCTCATCCCATGTTGAGGAAACACACTACAGAACTAGTAAGTAGGACTGTAGGCATTTCACGGGATCCCTGTATATCGGTACAAATTAGCAAAAAATACAGGGGTTCAGACATTTGCCTGAATATTTGCCTTTCCAGATATTTGCCTGCATGCTCAGAGTGCTTAGTGGCAGCTGGTGTCTTCCATGTCATGGTGCAGTGAATCCACGCCAGATTTGGAAGGAGGTCTCCAAAGCGCTGAATAAATAGTTTCAGTACTCTGGATAGTTCCTTTAAAGGTAGCCCAAACCTGAAATGGGTTCACTGCCTCCATGACATGGGGACAGGATATAAGATCTTCCCCTCCAAAGTTCCCCAAGGCCTTAATGTCTATCACAAAAGTTCTGAAGAGGACTCCAAATCTGGCTGACATCTCTTCTGATGAGCTGTGGGGAACCCCACCTTATCAAGATACCTGGTTGTGGGATCTTCTGTATCCTTAGAGGTTATTTATGTCCAAAGATAAAAAGTCTAAGGACCTTATCCCACGGGGCCAAATGCAGCAAGAATCCACTAAGAATCAGGCGCTATAGCGCTATACATTCCCGGGTGATCACACTACGTCGCTCAGAATCGGCTAAGAATCAGGCGCTATAGCGCTATAGTTTTCCGGGTGATCACACGACGTCGCTCAGAATCCGCTAAGAATCAGGCGCTATAGCGCTATAGTTTTCCGGGTGATTACACGACGTCGCTCAGAATCCAACAAGAAACCGCTCGGAATGCAGCATCATTCGGGTTCTTTTGAATGTCGGTTTCAGCGGGCATTGCAATAGCGCGAGCTGATCCATAGTGCTATTATAGCGCTAGCGCCATATTTATACTAGCGCTATAGTACTGCAATGATGCTCATATCGCTTTCTTGCCACTTTTGAGAGCAGCGTGGGATAAGGTCCTAACTTACATCCAGATGCTCAGGGAGATTGTTAGACAAAGGGCACATATGTCTCCCAAGTTCTCACTCTCAGTTTTATTCCTGTTGATGTTGTTATGTGCCTTCAAGTCATTTCCGACTTATAGTGACTCTAAGGTGAACCTGTCATAGGGTTTTCTTGGCAAGTTTCTTCAGTGGTGGTTTGTTACTGCCATCGTCTGAGGCTGAGAGAGTGTGATTTGCCCAGTGGGTTTCCATGACTGAGCTGGGAATTGATATCTGGTCTCAAGAGTCGTAGACCAATACTCAAGCCACTACATCATGCTGGCTCTCGAAACAAACCTCGCTGGACTTGTTTTCAACCTTTGGTTCTGTTTTGGATTTCAACTCTCAGAAATGCCTGATTATCGGTCATGCCTGTTGGGACTTCTTGGAGAAGTACAGTAGTCCCTTGATATTCACTGCTGCGGTTTGGGTGGACTAAACATGCACA